TAATATATATGTATATATATATATATATATATATATATAGATTTTTATGAATTTAGAATCAATTATTACATATTTCAATTAACTGTTCTATAAAAATTTATATAACCAATATAAATCTGCATATAATCATTTGTATTTTAATAAGGATTCGAAAAATAAAGTTTTAATTATAACTTTGCTTATTTATATATTAAATCTATTAAGATTTAAAATACATGATTTTTGGACGCGAAATGAAATTTAGAGAAAAGGGGAAGTAAGGAAAAATATATATAAAAGTTAGTCATATTATTGCGATATCCTAGTGTTGCCATCTATTGTAGAATTTTACAATATATATTGTACAATATATTGAATGTTACCTCTAGTTTATAATTAGTCCATGATAAAATTATTATAAATTATATGGTATTATCTTATTATTGTTCTGATATGCCCTCTATCATTTAGAGTGGAGAATTTAGGAATTAATTTTATTTCCAACTGAAGTTAGGAGAAATATATTTCGATGTTTAATTGTATTTACACATGATATTTATTTATATTAAAAAAGCGATAAAATATTAATAATGAAAATTTATATATTTTCACGATAAAAACTAATAATGATAATAAAAAGTTATCTTAATTATAAGATTTATAAGTTTTCAATTTCTGTATCATTGATTGTGCATATTTTTATTTGGTAAAGTATAGGTTATATTAAAATATTAAATATGACTGAAAAGCAGAAAGTATTAATTTGTGGAGATGTTGAGGGACATTTTAAATTTTTATTTAATAAAATCGATGCTATTAATAAAAAAAGTGGACCTTTTGATTTTTTATTATGTGTTGGAAATTTTTTTGGTAAAAATAACACAGAACTTGAAGATTATAAAATTGGTATAAAAAATATACCAGTTCCAACATATATTATTGGTGCTAATAGGCAAGCTGATTTAAATAATTATCCAGAGATAGATGGTTGTGAAATATGTCAAAATCTTACTTATCTTGGAAAACGTGGATTATATACTGCTAGTTCTGGACTTAAAATAGCATATATTGGTGGTATAGAAACTAATTCTTCAGAAATGAAATCTATTTGTTTTGATGAAAATGATGTTATGTCGATTAAGCAGGCTTGCTTAAAGGGTCAACCTAGTTTTCGTGGAATTGACATATTGATGAGCTCTCCTTGGCCAGCTGATGTTACAAATTTAGATCCTAATAAACCAAACTTTATATATCAAGGGTCAAAATTAATTGCATGGTTAGCTGCTCAAGTAAAACCAAGATATCATGTATCAGCATTAGAAGGAATTCATTATGAAAGACCTCCATATAGGTAGATAACAATTTCTAATATTTAAGATAAAACTTAAAAAAAAAGATTAATATTTAAAATAAAATTTTTAGCTATTTATTTATTATTTTACTTTTTAGGAATCAAAGTTTACAAGAAGGAAATATTGAAATTGCAACAAGATTTATAGCACTTGCACCTATAATGAATAATCAAAAAAAAAATGGTTATATGCATTGAATTTAACTCCTGTTGATAGAACTCGTTTATCTGATTTAATTATGAAAACTACAGATGAAACAGATACTCCATATCCTAAATCAATGTTATCAAATAATCCATCCTTACAAAAATTAGAACAATTAAAACATACACAATTTTTTTATGATATGGAATCTAAAGAAACAACTAAAAGATCAAAGTCTTCTGAAGGTTCTAATAAAAGATCAAAACCAGAATTTGATCAAGCAAAATGTTGGTTTTGTTTATCAAGTCCTGAAGTTTCTAAACATTTAGTAATATCAGTTGGTACAGAAGTTTATGTTGCACTTGCTAGAGGTGGATTAGTTGAAAATCATTTCTTAATTTTACCAATAACACATCACCAGAGTCTTTCTATTTTACCAAAAGAAGTAAAAGAAGAAATTGAATTATATAAAGCTGCAATATCCAAATATTATGCTACTATGGATAAAGTACCAGTATTTTTTGAACGTAATTTTAAAACATCTCATTGCCAGTTACAAGTTGTACCGGTTCATAAAAATCAAATACCAGCTCTGAAAGAAACATTTATGGTATATATATATTTTTAATAATTGTTTAGATGATTTAAATATATATTATTTATATATATTAATAATTATTTTAATAATATTTTTGTTTTAGGAAATGGCAGAATGTAATAATTTTAAAATGTCAGAATTGGCTCCACATACTGATTTGCAACAAATTGCAAAACCAGGTGTTCTATATTTTTATGTAGAATTACCAGGTAGAGAAAAATTATATTATAGAATAAAAAAAGATTTTCCACTTCAATTTGGTAGAGAAGTGTTAGCTTCAGACAGAATATTAGATCTTGATGATCGAGCTGATTGGAAAGATTGTCAAATGGATGAAGAGGAAGAAATTGAATTAGCAAAACGAATTAGAAGAGATTTCCAACCATTTGATTTAGATACTTAAAAATATATAAAAATTCAACGAAATAATATTATAATACATGTACATATATGAAATTTTTTGTAAAATATATAGATATTAATTATTATTTTATAAAATAATTGATGAAGATATTATTCTTAATTAATAATTTTATTATTTTTTCTCTTTTATTTTAGTTGGATCTAATCTATTTAGATATATTTTTTTTTTTATTTTGGCACTGCAGCAGGATCTAATCCACTTAATTTCATTTGTAAGGCTATATCAAGTATATAATCATAACATTCAGTCCTAAAGAAAGAATATGTTTAATAGATAAAAATAAAAAAATATTCAACAATTAAGATCAAATTAAAATTAAATTACATACATAGTTTTTGCTTGTTGCCATGTATCACCCCAAACATAAATACCATGTCTTCTTACTAATACAGCACAAGTTTTTGGATAAGCAAAAATAGTTTCTTCCAATTCATTTTTTAAGTCTTCTTCAAATGGAGTATTTTCTATTATTGGTATGATTAATTCTTCATCATAACGATATGATCTTCCCAATTGTTGATTTTTTATACCTGTATTATGTATTTATATATTTTCATAAATAATAAAAAATTATGCATTTTGTACCTTTTATCATTTCTAAATGGGTAACACGAAATTCTTTTCCAGGCCAATGTAATGTTACCATTACTGCAAATTTTGAATGAGTATGAATTACAGCTCCAGCATTTCTCCATTTATATGCACACATAAATAATGGAGTACATTGTGACTTTTTTAAATTTTTCTCTTTTGGTGGCAATTCTATATCATTTCCACTAATATCTTGTACAAATAATTCATCTGGACAAATGCGTTCTTTTTGAACCCCAGATGGAGCAATATAAATTTTTTCTCTGTAAGTATTATAAAATATTAATTTATTACATATTTTTTAAATTTAATAAAATATGACAATATTCTAACTTATATTTAATAGATATTCCTCCACCAGTACCAGTTACCCATCCTAGATCGTAAAATTGTTTACATAATTCAGGAATTAAAATTCGTGGATGTTCCTAAAAATAAAAAAATAAAAAAATATTAAAATTATGCATTAATAATTATTTTCAAAAATTATTTTAAATAGTACTTTGTCGAGAATATTATATTCCGAAGACATGATTAATAACTAAAGAACTTTGAACTAATTTTATTATGTTTCTTATATTATTATCAATTTGTTATCAATTCAGTGATCACGATCATAACACGGCATGTGCACGTGCATTAATATATAATTTGCAATAATGCAATAAATTTTTAATAATAATTATTGTTATTAAAAGAAAATATCGGTATAAAATTTGCTTTTCTTGAGCACAATATATATAAATTTTATTCATAAATATAGTACAGAAATTATAGTTGATTACGTAGTTTCAATATTGATACAATCAAGTAAAGATACAGTACATACAGTACATACAATAAAACGTATATATAATTTGTGATACGAAACTAATTTATTTTTTTTAATAAATTTAGTTTATATTAATTTGCAGACCTATGTTAAAGATACTAAGATATAATACTAAATCATGTTCACTAATTTCTTTAATTTTCTGTGTTAAATTACTTGCATAACCTATAAATTTGTCAGTCAAGTAATATGGCTTCTTGGATCACAGTGACACCGCGGTAGTATTTAAATTTTAGAATTTCTTTAAAAATTAATTAATTTATAAATTTTCTTTAATTGTTTATCTAATACAATATTATTTCATTTAGGCTTGAACAAGGTTTGAAAATAGCAAATCAGATAGACAACAGTAAATTTCGCTTGTTAATAAATCGTATTTGTCAAACGCTTCAATCAAATATTAATACAAAAATATTCAATGAAGAGGAAGAAGAAAAACTATTAATTTCTTTGGATTTAAATAAAAATGATTTAGTTTGTCTTTTAGATACAATAATATTAATTTATAAACAAGCTGCTTGCAATATTGTAAAACCACAATTAATGGAAAATACTTTAAAGAATACTTTTAAAACAGATGATGATAAATGTTTAATATTTTTAAATGCATGGTTTACATATGGTAAAGGTATAATTGATCATTTTAGACAAATGTCTATTTTTCCTGTTCAGGTATGTTATAAAATATAAATATAAATCTTTGTAAAAAACATTAACATTTTTTTTATATTAATTTATCTTATTTCAGGTTAAGGACATCGATTGGAGTTTAAATATTCAAGCTGCATCTTCAACTATTAAAAAGGATGTGCGACCAATGGCATTATTGCAATTAAATTTAACAGGAGAAGACGAATCTAAATTAACCCTGGAATTTGATAAAAAAGAACTCATAGATTTATATCACAATTTAGAGAGAATACAATCACAATTGGATGCTTTTAAATAATAGGTAATTATTAGTGTTTATAGTCATTGTGAGAAAATATTTTATTATATGAAATATATTTTCTGATATTTTATATTTGTTTTTAATATTTTTTATTTATTACATGTTATTAGTATTCTTAAATAAAGAAGAAATTAATGTAAATTTCTTATAGATGTTTATTTGAAATATAAGCTAATCTTAAGATTTTATGATTAATATTTCTTTCATATTCGAATATTTTCATACTTTGATGATGATCTATATTTTCCAACGCGTTCGTATAAATTTGGACTTCTATTAGGAAGAATACTCTCAATATTTGTCATATTTTGATCATGTTGCTCAGAAACTTGTATATCTAATTTTGTTCGATTTTCGATATAATGTCCATTGTTTAATTGCGAAGTTTGTTTCTTTTCCGATGTAGATATAGTTTCTAAAACACGTGATGACTTTCTGACAAATAAACGTGTTTTACAAACTACTAAAACAACTATAATAATCATCAGAAATAACGTTAATGTCGTCAGGACACCAACTATCCATCCCAATTTTTCATCTGTAACATTAATTGAACAAAATTAATCAAAATAATCAGATTATTTTTAATTAAAGAACAAGAAAATAATTTTTTTATAACAATATAGTTTTTATAATTTTTTTTTTTCTCTTATAATGTAATTTAATAAATCTAATAAGTACCTCCAATACTATTTAACAGAAGAAGTGATGCATTGCCTATTTCTTCATCCGTGTGGGGAACAGTGAATTTGCACATCCATTTCCCTAAATCTGAATAATTCGGTTAAATTCCAATGTACATACACCTGTATTATTATTCATGTGAATATTGTGCCTAAAATTTATAATAAAAAAAAAAAAAAAAAGAAAAGAAAGAAGAAAAAGAAGAATTTAATTACATGAACTTTTAATTTTATTGATCTTAAATTCAAAAAAAAAATTACCTTTTTGTTCCATTCATATTCTGATAAATATGGGTTTTTGACGCATGGATCCAATGGCATTGTACTTCTGATAACATAGTTTCTACTTTGCACGAAAGAGTAACCATTTGATGGGGCACAGCCCACAATACCACAGTCACTGGTTCTAAAAATCATTAATCTTTTCTTTATTCAGTGTTTCGTTTAATCGATTTATTCCCTTTCCTATCCCAATCACCGAAAGCGATGATGATGTTTCTTCGGTAGTGAGAAATTCTTCCAGAAACATGTATTGATACATGTGCATTAATTGTTGATACTGTGCACAAGCAATTTTCATGTGATATATTTTTTGTTAGGTTACAGTGAGAAAAATGTGTCGATGTGTAATGTATGTTGTATGGTATAAGGTGTATTATCTTAAAATATTACATTTCTATTATACAATATTTTTAAAAATACCATTCAATCAAATAAAACATTTTAAATTTGTTTTTATGATAGAAATTTGAGTATTCAGTGTACGTGTATTTGCATCAAAGACGATGGGAATCAGAAACAAGTTGCAATGATGTTTTCATATTATTATTTATTTAAAGAAATATGGTTTACAATGCCGAAGAGACTGACACTCAAACGCGCACGTACGATCCACCGATCACACCTCGGTGCAGATTCTTGAATTGTTCACGTTGGAAACTTAACAGTAACTCAATGGCACACGAAGGTAAGTATTAATTAGCTTCGAACGAAAGCGTTCTACGTTTGATTATTGCACACGATCTGTACCGAGTTTCCTATGAGTTGAGATTTTTCAAATCTTCTTAATATCGTTAGATATTACTTTTGTACCTTTAATAATTATAGAAAATGATTCAAAGTAATTATTACTTATTAATTATTACTTTTCAGGTGATGGTCGATCGAGTGACAGCAATGAAAACGCAACATTATTCGAAACGAAGATAAATATTTCAAAGGGGACGCTTAACAGTAAGAATTGTCTTAGCGTTAATTTTAACATGTGGCTGTTATATATAATGAGCATCAGCAGTAAAATGGGTATCGTAGTATTCTAATAAAAAAAAAAACCTGTTTCTTCGTGAAGTTTTTTTTGTAATCATATAATCATCGGTACGTTGACTTCTTGTTTAGCAACACGTTGGCTATGGGATCAGCCAACTGATTCGTTAACGGTTCCGTAACGAGTCTAATCGTTATTAGCACACTGGAGTTTCTTAAACGATTTATTTCGCTTAACAAATAAATATTCTTAGTCTTAAACGTTAAACTTCTTACGTGTAGTCTTTTTAAATAATTACTAGCTAATGCGTCTCGAATGCAACGTTACGTATTAAAACGAACGAAGAACGCGAACGCTCTTTCCCTGGTTACTTGCAGCAGGGCAATCTGTTCTGCTGTTCGTTAAATTGTCTTGAATTAATCGGAATCACTTTGAAAAAACTTTCAAATCCATCGATCTATTGAGAGAGAGAGAGAGAGAGAGAGAGAGAGAGAGAGAGAGAGAGAGAGAGAGAGAGAGAGAGAGAAGAAGAAGAAGAA